AACCCACGGGATCACAGAACCGAACCCGGGAGGAGGTAGACGCCAAATCCAATTCATACATAGGAGGGAGAATAAGAGAATCCCCATTCCTTGTAACAATCAAGCCCCACTCCAAGGGTACAAAAACCCAAGCGGGGTCTAACGGGGCCCAAGGCCCCCAAGACAACCCCTCACCCCAGGGACCTCACCCCGAGGACCAGTGGCCGAGCCGAGGCTCGCACACCAACTGTAGAGACAGTACCACATCACAAGGCACAGAATTGAACAATTTGCTGAAGCCAGAGGCACACGACATTGTCAGTGTCACATCAGCCAAGAACTGAAAGGTGGGTAGCTGGCATGAAGGTCTGGAGTGCCCCTTTCCCCTCCTGGGGAGGGGGGGGGGGGGTTGTGCAGGTTGTGGCACAGCAACGTGGTGACATCATGCTAGTTTGCTCATTTTCATTTGGGGAGTTCTGTCCACTCGTTCGGCTCTTTTTAGCAATGTTTTCACCAAAATAGGAGTTTGTTTTGGGACGCTTATCTTTCCGGGTGACTGACCCGGTCGATGGCAGACATAGAATGCTTCCAACCACACAGGGGTTTCTATAGGTCATTGTCCTTCATACCTCTCAGAGGGGGCCAGGGGCCAGATTCACGAAGCAATTATGCAAGTACTGTACTTACAAACGTGTACATCTTTCCTCAATCTTTGATGGCTTAGGTTACAATTATTAAACAGTTTACAAGCATGAAAACTTCCCAATCAACTGTTGTTATTGTTATAAACAACCTCCTGGTGCTTCGGAGCTCATTAACTGTTTAATAATTGTAAACAAAGCCATCAAAGACTGAGGAAAGATGTACAGGTTTAAGTGCTTGCATATTTGCTTCGTGAATCTGGCCCCAGGTTCTGTCTCGTGATCCCCGGTAGACCTAGAAATCTATGCACATTGACTGGATGCCAGATATCTAATATATCCATATCAGCCTGGATAGCTCCCCCAGAAAAGATGGGAAATGTGAGAGTTGGTTTATTTTCAGCTGTGTTATTGTGACTTACTCTCTGCAACCGTGTGTATAGTTACCTAAGTAAGCGAGTGTAATTATCAATTAAGTGAGCTATGCTCGTGGTGTCCCATCTTCCAAGCACTCTCTTATCATATAAATGTGTGTGTTTATATGCTCATATTTATATATATGTATATTTATATGCTAATTAATTATATATATATATATATATATATATATATATATATATATATATATATATATAAATAAAATCACTAAGAACTCTTTGACTTTGACCCAGGTATTTCTAACTTTAGAATTGCTTTTAAATACATGGATGGAGAAATACTAAAGAAATTGTTCACAACTTTTGTTAGACCAAAGCTGGAATATGCAGCAGTTGTATGGTGCCCATATCTTAAGAATCCCTTAGTACCCAAATGAGCCACAGAGACATTAAAAAAAAAATTAAATGTCAGAGTAATTAACAAATGGAATGCATTAAGTAGTGATGTGGAGGAGGCCGACTCCATACACAGCTTCAAATGTAGATTTCATAGAGCCCAGTAGGCTCAGGAATCTGTACACCAGTTGATTGACAGTCGAGAGGCGGGATCAAAGAGCCAGACTTCAACCCCCACAAGCACAATTAGGCGAGTACAACTAGGCATGAACAAATTCTGTAAACAACCGATGGCTAGAAAGGCGGGATCCAAGAGTAAATGCTCGATCCTACAGGCACAAATAGGCGAGTACACAAATAGGTGAGTACACACATTTTAGAAAAATTTCTGATAAAAAAATGAGGGCAGTAATCAGAGGCAATGTATCGGACTGCAGAAATGTCACAAGTGGAGTACCACAGGGTTCAGTTCTTGCACCAGTAATGTTCACTGTCTACATAAACGATCTACTAAATGGAACACAGAATTATACGAACATGTTTGCTGATGATGTTAAGATTATAAGATAAGAAACTTTGATGATTGTCATGCCCTTCGAGAAGACCTGGACAAAATAAGAACATGGAGCATCACTTGACAAATGGAATTTAATGTGAACAAATGCCATGTTATGGAATGTGGAATAGGAGAACATAGACCCCACACAACCTATAAATTATGTGAGAAACCTTTAAAGAATTCTGATAAAAGATATCTAGGGGTGGTTCTAGATAGAAAATTATCACCTGATGATCACATTAAGAACACTGTGTGAAGGGCCTATACTACACTTTCTAACTTCAGAATTGCTTTTAAATGGATGGATGGAGAAATATTAAAGAAATTGTTTACGACTGTCGTTAGACCAAAGCTGGAATATGCAGCGGTTGTGTGGTGCCCATATCTTAAGAAGCACATCAACAAACTGGAAAAGGTGCAAAGACATGCCACTAAGTGGCTCCCAGAACTGAAGGACAAGAGCTACGACGAGAGGTTAGAGGCACTAAATATGCAAAAACTAGAAGATAGAAGAAAAAGAGACGATATGATCACTATGTACAAAATAGTAACAGGAATCAATAAAATTGATAGGGAAGAAATCCTGAGACCCGGAATTTCAAGAACAAGAGGCCATATATTTAAATTAACTAAATAAAGATGCCGAAGAATATAAGAAAATCACTTTTGTAAACAGAGTGGTAGACGGTTGGAACAAGTTAGGCGAGTGGGCGGTGAAGGCCAAAACCATCAGTAGTTTCAAAGCTTTATATGACAAGAGAGTGCTGGGAAGATGGGACACCATGAGCGTAGCTATCATCCTGTAACTACACTTAGGTAATTACACACACATACTTTTTTTTAAACCCAGCTGCTATCATAATGTACTGTTGACAAATGCCAGAAGGAAGGTTGACACTGCCCAGTCCAAAATAAGGATATTAGTATGATTTCCCATACTGATAAATAGTAACACTGACATGAAAGGTAATAAAAAAAATGGTGGGATGATTTTAGTATTTTAAGGATTAAAGGAGACACCATTCATACCCTTTCTTCCCTTCCCTCCACACATTGACAAAATTTATATAAGCAAAAGGAAAACAACAGAGCAGCAGCAACTGGGAAATGCACAGTTACCCAGTTGCTACCATTCTTGGATGTTCTTTATAGAGAGAAGGCAGGCCAGTGCATTAGGGAATCTGGAGGAAGAGTAAGTGGCAAATGTTAACATTATTGTTAAAATAATGTGTGAGAGATAACAAGTGAATATCTAAAAGGTGGCAGTGATTAAAAACAGGAGATAACATGAACGTGATTGAATTTGCACAAGAACATGGTGTTTAAGAATAAAATAAAGAGAGGTCTGGGGAGTCTAGGGATGTGGGTTTAATCCCATTGTAGAGCCTCAATATTTCTCATGAATGAATTTGATGGCGTCAGAAGAGGAAACGATCGTATGCTAGCCGATTCATCTATGGAAGAGGCAAGCTACATCAGTAATGATGCTGAAATGCGGGAAAGTTGCAAGTGATATCGAGTTATGTATTACAAAAATATTTAAATGAGAAAAAATGATAATGTGGATAATTTGCTATAAGGCAAGAGAGAGAGAGAGAGAGACAGAGAGCTTTCATGTCTAAGGATGCCACCGGCTTCCTTTAGGGGAGCTGGTGGCATGATCCTGTGGTCCCGGGTTCGATCCCGGGCGCCGGCGAGAAATGATGGGCAGAGTTTCTTTCACCCTGATGCCCTGTTACCTAGCAGTAAATAGGTACCTGGGAGTTAGTCAGCTGTCAAGGGCTGCTTCCTGGGGGTGGAGGCCTGGTCGAGTACCGGGCCACGGGGACACTAAAAAGCCCCGAAATCATCTCAAGATAACATTACCACTGAATACAAATGATGGAAAACATTGCAAATATGAGAAATATAGTGGAATATAAGTGCAGTGGGCAAAGTGTATTGCAGGAAAGTGATTATGGGAGTACTGTATAGATAATTATAGTGCATAATAATTGGTCAAAGATGAGCAAATTAGGTTTCATAGGGAAAAAGATGCAATAATCAGATGTCTGCATGAAGATAGCTTGTAAAGAAGTTACACAAGGAAGATTGAAAAGCATTTATAAACATTAAAAAAAAAACATGACAAAGTTAATAAACACGCACTTTGGAGTGTGATGAGCATATATATATAGAGTTGGCAAAGTTCTGCTAAATTCTGTGAAGTTTCTATACAGGAAGTAACGCATGCAAGAGTTTGTGTGCAATAAGTGACCGGTTACATATTAATGCAGGTACATGCCAGAGAGATGTCATCTTTGTAGTTCAATACATATATCAAAGGTAAGAACATTAGGGGGAAGAGAAGTAATTATCAAAGAAGGCACCAAGACGAAAAGGTTATGTAGCAGGGGAAGAGAATAACAAATGTGTAATCATAATGCAGTACGAGTACAAGTAATGTACGAGCGCTGGCCGAACCTACCACCTCATACTGTACACACACACCTTTCAAATTTTCATGTTCACTTCTACATATTGAGTTGACAGAAGTATTCAGATAATTAAAATTTAATAAAATAACCTAATCTGCAATATTCAATAAATATTACAGATTAGATTAGAGAGAGACTTTACTAAAGAACAAAAAAAATTGTGTGTAGACAATTTGAGTTAAGGTGTGGAAGAGCAGCAGAATGGGATTGAGACAAACTCTTCTACATAAAATAGTCAGCTGAAAACAAAATTGTATAAATAAATGCAATAAACATTCACAATTATAATTAAAATAAATCATTCCTAAAAACAAATACAGTAAATTCAAATGACACTTAAAAATATATATTGTATATAAATTAAGTAAAAATGTTGTCAAGTCTAGTTGTAAGTGGTCATGTATACTATTCCAAAGTGGTCAAGAAAAGTGAAGTAAATACAAAAGGCAAAAGGGATGAAAAGGGTTAACTTTCACCGCATTGAAAATTGACAAATCACGCTTTGAGCCATCTTTACTAGCGACAACTCGAAAAGGAAACAATACCTTTGTAACTTGGAAAAGCAACTTACATGACTCTCCAGCTTTGGCATAGATATCATCCAAAACCTGTGAAAGTTCCTCGTCCACCTCCTCATCGTGGAAAATCAACTCGTCTTCGTTCTTGTTTTGGTGGATTGGATGACGCTTGAGCTTCTTTTTCTTGGGCGACTGCTTTAGCAACTGTTCAATCAATGGGGATGGAGTGACATTCCTGTGACAGGGTAGGGGGGTAAAGAGGTGTTAGAAGAGTAACCTTAAGTTGAAAATAGGAATGCTAGCATCTTTTATGCTAAATATACACAACATTCATGTTCATGATTCAATTGATTTCTGGCTGCAAAATAGTTACTATACACCGTAGTTAAATTTCTTTACCTTGAATTAATGATACATGTTTTTATCTTGAAAAGTCAGCTATAATAATGGATACACGTCATAGGTACAATATGACTTATCGAATGTTTAAGCAAACAAGATGGTTTGCTACCGATTATTAAAACCTATCTTACATTAATCAACCTAACTCAATCGAGCCTAATAAGGGCCTATCATCATCTAAAACATCTTGGCCTAACAATATATATACAGTTTTAACAAACATAAAACAAGCTTAGTTGAATTGTCTTCAACAGGGTATGACCATACCCCATAACAATTCCCTACTGCACAAATTGCACTATGGATATTGAACAAAGTCGGCAGTCTAACACAAGGCAATATCAATTTAGCAATCAATTGGCATATGTTTCAGAAGCTGTCTTAGTTTTAGACTTCCCAGAATAAAGAGGGACAGATTCTCCCGAGACATAACTAATAGGCCAAAGACAACACTCGCCTATACTGGGACAGCTATGTTCAGATTTTACAATCAAACACCATAGTTTAAAATTAAAACGATTCTTAGGTGCGTATTTCAAAGAATACATTACTTGATCATTATAACAAATAATTTATCAAAACCCATCATTCCTACACCAGCATTAATTAACTAACAGCACTCTCCAGAAGTAATATAGTTGGCTAAATTAACTAAAAATTCTAGATAATGGAACACAGATTTTCAAACAAAAACTTGAAAATTGGGACAAATGTATTACTAAATAGTATTAATAAAAAAAAAAAGTCGAGTAGAATGCTAATTGGAAATTCAAGTAAAAAACAAAGTAAATTTTTACAGTTTGAAAATTGAGTGAAATCTCTTTGGGCATCTTGAACTGGCATCAAAAGAGTATCAAACATAGTTAAATACATAGTTAAATACATAGTTAAATACAGACCATGGAAGTGTCAAAAACAGACTAAACAATATGTGAATGGAATGACAAGGGTTTAACAAAAAAACAGCTTTAAATGTAATGAAACGCCATTTTCTGGGCGAGACCCGGAGGCTCCCGCAGATCTATCCAGGCTGATGAGAATGTATTAGACCCTGGCATCAGACAATATGCATGGAAATCTAGGCCTACCAGGGACCACAAGCCAGAACCAGGCCCCCTCAGAGAGACTCCTCATGGAAGTATTGTGTTTGCCAATGACCAGGTCAGGCACCCAGAAAGGTAAGCGCCCCAAAACAAACCCCCTTTCTAGTTAAAATATTGCTACCGAGAGCAGAACTAGTGGACAGAACTCCCCAAGTGAAAACGAGCAAAAGAGCATGACATCAAGTCACAGCGCCGCTGTCTGTGCAACTCGCCCCCCCCCCCCCTTCCTTCCCCAGGAGGAGGCAGGGGAAGCCCCAGACCCCTGCACCACCAATCCGCCCTGCAATTCTGAGGCTGGATGTCAAAACACGTGAAAAAATGCTGACCAGATAGAGGGAGGGTTGTCGGGGAACCTCCAAGTTTCACCCAGAAAATGGCGTTTCATTACAGTCAACGCTGGTTTTCTGGGGGGAGCCCCGTCGGCTCCCCAGAGCTACTTAAACAAAGACAAAACAAGAGGGACCTACCCGGGAGGCGGGAGGCCCTCGATTCTCAACACAAAGTCGAGATAACTGGCTGCAACTGCCAACCCAATACAACACAGGCCCAACTAGGCCCAGGAATGTTGACAAGGTGGCGAGCGCCCAGGACCCTGTTCGACCTCAAAAAACCCAGTGCCCAAATGTCAGCCCAAGACATGTTACTGAAGACGGCAGGCAACGCAGCAAACTTACGAACGTCGTGGGCACGAGGATAGACCACGCATCTATCCAGAGTCAACCCAAAGCGCGTCCCCAGCCACTGAGGCCGTTGTGCGCAGGTAACGGCAGAGAGCCACAACCGGACACAATGCATGATGCACTCCCAGCCTGACCAACCAGGCATCAACAACCCAAGGACCCATCCAGAAAGAGGCAGTCTCAATCTTTGCCAGAAAAGGAGACGGATGCAAACAAACAAACTACCACCAGGACCAAAAGCATAGAAACCCTAGTGCCAGAGGAGACCCCCAGAAGCCAATGCCAACAAGAAAAAGAGCCACCACACTGAAGTCACCGAAGGGGCCACCACAAACCAAGAAGAGAGGGGAGAGCGCCTGGTCTAACGACCAGGACGGCTTAGGGCATGACGGCATGAGTCATGCCCTAAGCAAACTGTTCAAGCTGAACCTCCGGGACGTGTACACTCACGGGGGCCCAACAGAGGACTACTAAAATACAAATGGTGTGACCAAACCAAGGGGCAGACCCCACCATCAGGCAGGAAAACAAAAATGAAAAGAAAAGCCACGCAAGAGGACAACGTGCCCAGGCGGAACAAAGCCAGATACAATGAGAGGTGATAACTAGCTGCACAGTACTGTACCCTGTGCTCCAACCAGTGACGAAAACTACCCCCTACCCAGAGGCAAACGGGGGAGCAATAAACACCCTAGCCAACTCCAAGGGCGATCAATCACCGAGCAGCAAAAGACACAGCAGAGGTAAATCCCAAGGTGACTTGTGGAAGGTAACCAAGCCCCCCAAGGAAAGTACTTACAGGGCACCTAGGAATGGGAACCCTAGGCACATGCAGCCCGAGTACTGGAGAAATTACTCCTGGCTCACACACCACCGAAGAGACAGCACCACACCACAAGGCACAAAACTAGACAATTCTGGAGTCTGTGGTACATGACCATGACAGTTCCACATCAGCCACAGAACTGTAGGGTAGATAGCCGGTGCAGAGGGGGAGGGGGGGACAGTCTGAAGCTCCCCCTTCCTCCTCCCAAGGAGGAGGAGGAGGAGGAGGGGGGGGGGGGAAATGTGCAGGCAGCGGCGTGGTGATGTCATTCTCCCGTTTGCTCGTGTTCATTTGGGGAGTTCTGTACACTAGTTCGGCTCTCAGTAGCAATATTTTAACCAGAATAGGGGTTTGTTTTGGGGCGCTTGCCTTTCTGGGTGCCTGACTTTGGCAGACACAGAATGCTTCCAACCACACAAGGAGCCATTGCTCCTCGTGTCTCTCTTAGAGAGCCAGGTTCTGGCTCGTGGTCCCCGGTAGGCCTAGAACTCCATGCACATTGACTGATGCCAGGGTCAAATACATTCATATCAGCCAAGATAGCTCTGGGGAGCCGACGGGGCTCCCCCCAGAAAAAGATGATAACAGGGTGTTAAGAGGTGAATCAACTACACAAGGATGACATAATAAAGAGGTAAGTTAGCAAATATAAAAGGATGAAAGCACTGTAGGAATTCTGATATTCAAGAAAAAATTTTAACATTTTAAGTGAGAGAGACATAGTGAGACTGGCAGGAAAGGATGGGTAGGAAGATGATCAAATGAATACTTCCCTGACACTGACTATAGGAAAGTGAGGTCTAGTTCTTTATGTCATGTCTACCAGCCTTGCTTTACGTTTTGTGCAATAATATACCTTTCCTGACATTCAATTCTTTGTCCAGCTGGCTTTAAAATTGAGAATAGAGGCAGTTTCCAGACTACTACTATCAGAGTATTGCATGTGTGCAACCAGATGTGTATTGTATTGAACTCAGTTTAGTTTAGACAAAAGTTAGGCTAGATTTGGCCTATGTAAAGGACAAATCTATTTAACACAAGAACATGCTATTTAACACAAGGACATGCTATTTAACACTTTCGCTCGGGGATGACGCAGCATTGCGTCATCCGTTTACTGGCGGTAATGCCGGGGATGACGCAGCATTGCGTCATCCACTTTAAAAATTCGCCAAAAATCAGGTTTGTATCCGATTTTTTGGGGACTGGTTTTAAAATGTGCGCCGATGTCTTCCCATTTCCTTTGTTGAGCCTCGTGGCCCTCAGGCGGCTTGGCACACGCCGTGGGCCCATTGTCTTTGCTCCACTGTTGTGACCAATGTCGTCTCCCCTCGCATCTCAAACGTGTGAACATTTCGGCTATTTTCCGTGGCTATATTTCTTACTGCGGCTTTAGAAACTATCTACGCTTACTCCACGATGGATAGTAATCATGAACAAGGCCCTTCCAGGAAGAAAATTGCGAAAGAAAGGCTTGAAAAGGGTGGGAATTGGGAGTGTAGTAGGAAGGCCTCTGAGCGCTCACTCACGGCTAACGCGTGGCCCGTCTTCAACTCGTCGGCGGTTGGAGCGTGACCAGGTGTTTTTTTTTATATGCTAATGTTCCTCTAGAGAATTTTATTACGAACCCATTGAGACCAAAATGAAAGACCTAGGACAAAAATTGAGGTGACCAGAGTGAAAATAGTGAAAACATTTTATCCCGTTTGCGCGCTCCCGGGTAACTCGTTCGCACTTTCTCTGTTTGCTGCGGGTAATTAGCCGGGCTTTTGGAGTTTATATGCATTTAGTGCTGTAGAGAATTTTATTGCGAACACAATGATACCAAATTTATTCTCGTAGAAGGAGAATTGAGGTGACAAAGTTGAAGAGAGTATACACTTTTCGGAATTAACGCGCGCTTCCGTGACACGCTGGGGCCCATATCGCCCTGTCGAGGGGTGGCGCGCGGGGTGAGCGAAAGTGTTAACACAAAGGGCATACACTAGGGAATACAGGTGGAAATTGAGTGCCCAAATGAGTCAGAGATATTAGAAAGAACTTTTATAGTGTTAAGAGTGGTTGGCAAATGGAATGCATTAGGAAGTGATGTGATGGAGGCAGACTCCATACACAGCTTCAAGTGATGATATGAAACAGCCCAGTAGGCTCAAGAACCTGTACACCAGTTGATTGACAGTCGAGATGCGGGGACCAAAGAGCCAGAGCTCAACCCCCGCAAGCA